TTTTGCACTCAGATATTGCTGTGAGAGTGCTCATCTGGGCTGAGTGCAGCTTTGGTTTGGCAGAAGTGTGTATACTCGCATCTCTTCTCACCCCCCCCCCCCCCCCCCCCCCCCCCCCCCCCCCCCCCCCGTTTCCTCCTCCCATACTCTTCCTCAGAGTAGGTGTCCCAGCACCACCACACTCTACTCACTACCCCAAATAAGTGAGGTATATAGACTGTAAAAACTTTCTTTCTTAACCCTTAAAATCAGTCCGTCACACAGAGGAAAGGTGGCGAGAGGAAGACGAGTGTGTGGAGGAGAAACGGTATGAGCTTGAATCTTATTTTCCATGTGTTTGGCCGCTTTGTTGTCTTTCTGGTACGGTGTTAGTTAAGAATCATAATTTGTTATATTGTGGTTATGAATAATGTCTCCATTGATTTTATCTGAATGAAAACACTTGGGTTTCGTCTGATGTACAGAATGGACAACCTTGTGGGCATTTTACTTGAATAATAAGTACATGTTTTAATGTATTTGAGCTGCTATGAAGTTTAGAAATGTATCTCCATATAGTCATTAAATACCATAACATTTTGGACACGAAAACACAAAATATCTTTGCTAAATCTTTTAACTTCTTCCTTTTTTTAAATCCCACTCTTTTACCTTTTTGATATTAAACTTCAATTGAAAGCTTTGTTAAAGTTTAAGAATTGTCCATACACTGGGTTATTTAAGTACTTAGAAAGACGTCACAACACATGCAACCAGCCATAGGTGCTCACATTACCAGCATAAACACACACAGTCACAAACACACACATGCACAGGCTCTTTGGAAAACATCTGACATCAGAGTTCATAAAATAATTTCTCTTTCTCCCTCTCAGCCACAGTTTTCTGTGAATAGTATAAAGTCATATTTTCCCCCTTAGCTCTGGAGCCTGATATAATTGAGTTGGACTGGGAAAACTTACAGCCTTTAACGGAAAATAAGACCCATAAAAATAACACTCACAGTTCCAGTCGTCACACTCTGCGTGTGCACAGAGGGACTTCATGATATAGACGATGGATACTATAACTTGCTTTTTTACAGAAGAATAAACCTTTGTGCAGGTTTGGTCGATCCTGCTGCTGTAATTTTCCTGGCCGTCACACAAATTTGTGTCAATTCTCTTTTTTTCGAGACGTTACACTGAGTTCTGGTGGTGGACAGTTATGGCGGATTTAAGTTTCCATTTCCTCTTCAGTAAAAACATATCCTCAGAGGACTTTCTGATTAACTTGCTTCTTTGATTTGTACGTAGTTCGGTTGGACAATATAGTTGTAACTATATGTTTATGACTCTTTGCCTAACAGTTGGATAGGACAAATGGTTGAAAATCTCCAGATGTTATCAATCTATTTTAATCTTGTTACAAATAAATCCTTGTTAAGACAGAGGAAGAGAGCGCGTAATGAAAGCAAGGGATGAGGAAACCGTAGATCTGCAGAGGAGGTGAATTCCTCCACCGTCGACAAAAGAGTGGGAGGTGAGAACAAAAAACAAAGAAAGAGATACGAGCCACTTGTTCGGAAGGGTAATATCTTTACATCTGTAGCCGCAAAGGTAAAGAAAAAAAAGAAGATGTTCCAGAGATAAAATACTTTGTTTTTGTAAGACCAACATGACACACCTAAAGGCAAACAGTTATATCAGTTATTGACTTTAAAGGTACCGATCCCTAATTAACATGAAAACAATAACAGTAATTATGTTTTATGATGGTGGAGGTTAAATATGGACTAACATGAGTTTGTTTGAGAGACAAATGTGTCAGTGGTCTCTGCCTGTGGGCTGTTTACACATTCGTTACAGTGTTTTTGCAAGATTCAGTAAACCATGCCGACACGTCCTTGATTAGCAACAACAAAACAGAAACACGGCGACAAGAAGGAAGAGGGGATATGATCAGTATGCCGTTTGTGCGTGTGAACATATCATGATGTGTCAGTTTAGAGTGACTCAGACAGACAGAACATTTATGGGAATCATTGCAACTTCTTTACTAATCTTATTATTTTCCGAAGACGCCTGTGTTCTAAGGAATATGCCCAAAATAACAAGTTCAACCACCAACCACCCATGATGCTTTTTTTTTTCTCTCCCCTGCGCCGGAAATTTGACGTCCGTTGCATTATGCTCCTCCTTAAACCCTTTTGTGTCGTGCTTTGTCGCTGCACTGCTTTGTTTAAGATCATTTTTCTGTTTTAGCAACTTTTTGCCTATTATTGTTGATGTACGTAATAATTATATGCAGTAATCCTGTTTTTCTGTGGATGCTTTTAAACAATAATTGGTGATCCTAAAATGTGACATTCAGGTCTGTTATCGTGTCTACTTACAATGAGACAAACTGTACTGGTACAAGGTCAAGGGATGCATTTACACTTTGTCCTACAGAGGCTTAGGTGGTGTGTTTCTAATTTTTGTTTTTATGCATCTGTGTATTTTGTAGGGCTGCAACTGGAAAATGCCCCAATCACAAGAGATAATCCTCACATTTAACAATCAGGAACCAGATCATTTTTGGCATCTTGTTTTAAAAATAATGACTAAAATTAGTGTTTTATTGTCAAAAGGGTTGCTTTTGTGTATGTATAAGCAAACCCATGCCCCATGACTTCCTCACTCTTCTGTATCTGTAGCTGCCGCAACGCATGCCATCCTTGTTCACTCGAGCTGTGGTGATAGCTCTCATGAACATGCTTTAGATTGAAATAGCAGTCGTTGAGGCCACGTTGTTATTTTTTTTTAAGAGCAGTGGTGCCCAGAACTCAAAGGAAGAACTTTTTTGCACTCTCTCTCTCTGTGATATGATGCGATGTGGATTAACTCATATTGCACCTACCAGAATGTGTGTTCCTGGGTGTGATGACTCATTATGCCAATATGAATTTAGTTTTTAGATGTGTTCTGTGAATTGTCTCTAAAATATTGGTACTTCTGAGGTGTCTTGGTTGCATGCACTATAGTTTCCTTCCTGCCAAACCAGTTCAATTCATGTGTGTGGTCTGAAGCCTGAAGGTTATGTATTCTACATCAAACCGCAGCTCTGCCAAGACCTTAGATACACGTCTCCCCTCTACCTGTTGGTCCCTTGCTGAACAGGGAGAGGTCGACATTAAAATTGCGTTTATCGGAAATTGTTTCGGAAAACAAGCCGTTGGTTGTTGGCGAGAGGGGGGCGCGTAGGCGACCTGGGGGGAGGGGTATCTCTGAATCTGCCTTCGTCACATGCACCTTCTTTTGATACAACAGGAAGGAGAGTGAGTGACAGATTGTGCTAACGGGGTAGACATCCCCAAGGATGAACGCTGCACCACGACTTCTGTCAAAGAGATCAGAACTTTAAAAGTTACACTTGGATGTGTTGAAGGAAATAGGAAAAAGTGGTTTTCAAAGAAAGCGGAGGGAGAAGAGTTGTAAAGAGCAGAAAGATGGATGCCATGAGACACACGCTGCCTCGTCTCCAGCTGACTGTGCCCATGTCCATGAGGACGGGGAAGGTAGGATACCACTGGGGTGCCTTAGTACATCCTGGAGATGAGAAGTGGAACATTTGGGAAGTTTTACTATTTGCGCTGTGGGAAAAAGTGCTGGCAAGTTCATGAGAGGTAGCTATTTAATTGGCTTTTTTTTTGTATTAAGTGGGTGGAGTACATTTATTCAAGTATGTGTTTTTAAATAGACTGACGTTAAAAGCATCACAGAACAGGTTAAATCTAACAATAGTGGGAGGGGGAGCCACAGATTGGCACGCAATGTGTGTATGTCTACGTGTGTGTGTGTGTGTGTACCTAATAGGGTGTGTTTTGGAGCAGGTTAGTCAGGTGGATGTGCCGTCGTTGTGCAGAGCCCTCTGGGCACTGTGCGATCTCTGTTATTGGATGGCCAGGGGGCTGCCAGTTGCTATGGGAGGGAGATGAAGGGCAGGGGGGGGGGGATCTGAGGGTGAGTTGTTTGTGGAAAATCTGCTCAGGTGTGTGTGAGAGATATTGTTGAGCAGGTATAGTGCGGACAGGGTGAGGTGCGAGTTTAGGGAGGCAAAGAAGCAAGTTGTTGGGTCTTATTACCGACAGACCTGGTTGTGTCTCACAAAGAGAAATGAAGAAAGTTATCGCTTTTATTTGACACACAGTACGATATTGCAGTGGATTTTGATTTAATAAAATCCAGTAACTATCCAGCTCGTACTGTGTATAATACACATCAAGATTGTAGATGGCTTTAAATCCAGTCTTGATAAAGGTTGTAATTCTTCTCTGTTCTTTCCTTCCTCATTCTTTCACTGGTACTCCCCCCTTTCACCCACTCAAGGCTGTCACTTCCTCCCTGTCCCTCGCTAGCTTTTCTTTCTTCTCTCTCTCATCACTTTGTCCCTCTGTTCTTCAGGTATTTAAATCAAACTGCTAATGCTATAAAGGTTTCACACGGGAATTAACCTGCTGTCCTCTAGCTACAGCAGATGCAGTACGTTGCATAATCCTGCATCCTTTCCGCATCGGTGTTATCAATCATTCGGTTTTATATACAGCATGTCTTTCGCTACTCTAATTATTTTATTTGCGTTTAGTTTATTTGTATTTGCTGTTATCTCTGACGTCGCCATCGCATTTGTCCTCTGCCATAGGGCAAGTGACATCTCCTCCTCTTGATTTAGTAATCTGGAGAGAAAGTCGGGGTAGGGAGGGAGGATAAGGGGGGAGAGTTGTTGCTTAACCCTGTTTAAATAGTCCCTCACATGCAGGAAACTCTTTGTGTAAGTCACGCTACAGGGGATTTACTTTTAGGTTATTTGAAATCTCTATAAAAGAGGACGAAGGGTATTCTTTCAATGTTATAAAGATAGGATAAATTATACAAATATTGTCAAATATGTTATAAACTTTATAAGCACACTGTGACACGTACAAAACTGCTAAGTCCTCAGTCCTTCCACTAACCTGATATTCCCCTCCTCTCACGCAGGTGGCGATGTCTCCAGGAGAGGACGGCCTGATTGGGATCCCCTTCCCGGAGCACAGCAACGAGCTCCTGTCCCACCTCAATGACCAGAGGAGGACAGGACTCCTGTGTGACCTCACCCTGACGTCCCGCGGGGCACGCTACCCAACTCATCGCTCTGTCATGGCCGCCGTCAGTCTCTACTTCCGCCGGCTGTTCGGGGGAGAGGAGGGAGGCGGCGAGGGCGGAGGAGGTTTCAGTGTGTGTCAGCTGGACTGCGTGGCCCCCGACGCCCTGGACGCCCTGCTGGAGTTCGCCTACACCGCCACCCTGACCATCCCCGGCTCTGGGATGAGAGACGTGCTGCGAGGGGCTCAGCTTCTGGGCATCCAATGTGTGGCTGACGCCTGCAGAGACATCCTGGGGGAAAAGGCAGAGGGGGAGCCGGCGGAAGAGCCGAGAGCCCAACACACAGCCACAGAGAGGATTGCAGTGGGGGACATCAGAGTGGAAAGAGGGTCCCGAAGAAAAACGGACAGAAAAAAGATGAAAAGAATTGGGTCGAATCACATGAACTCGTCGTTTCTGAACCCACCACCTGCTTCTCCCGTCTCACACCCTTCGCCTGCATCCGACAGCTTCCGCTCCCTGCCGTCGACCGGGCCTCCCAGCCCCGAACACAGGCAGAACGGAGATCCAAGGGCCATTAGAAGGCCAGGCAGAGGGCCCACAATAAATGGAGGACCCCCTCCCTGGCTGCATGAGCGCTCCCATATAGCCAACCAACCTCCTGTACCGCCTTTGAGTGACAAGCTGTCAGAGGAGGAGGACATGGAGAGTTTTGGCGATGATGGTAAGCTGATGGAGAGCACCTCAGTACCTACCTCTATAGCTGATCAAGGAGCAGGGGCCACGGCAGGGGGAGCAGGGAGGAAGAGGAAGTCTCAAACGCCTCAGCAGTGCCCCGTCTGTCAGAAGATCATCCATGGAGCAGGAAAACTGCCCCGACACATGAGGACACACACCGGGGAGAAGCCCTTCCAGTGCTCGGCCTGTGGAGTCCGTTTCACACGGTAATGGAAGTTTGCTTTAAAAAAAAATCATGTTTTCATGAATGGGGGCCTTGTTGAATCTTTAATGTGTTTATCTCTCTTTCCCTTCCTTCTTTGTCTCCCCTTGTTTCCCTTTATTAGGAATGATAAGTTGAAGATCCACATGAGGAAACACACAGGCGAGCGCCCTTACCCCTGCCCACACTGCCCCGCCCGGTTTCTCCACTCGTACGACCTCAAAAACCACCTGTCCCTCCACAGCGGGGCGAGACCCTTCGAGTGCCCGCTCTGCCACAAGGCCTTCGCCCGAGAGGATCATCTCCAGCGTCACCGCAAGGGCCACAGTTGCCTGGAGTTGCGCACACGCCGACCCAGACAAGGGGAAGAGCTCGGGGAGGATGAGGGAGGGGAAGCAGGCGGGAGGGAGCAGGCCAACACTCTGGAGGCTCTACAGGCCCACTCCTCTGCATTCCCCCATCACAGTTTGCTGGATGCTGGGAGTGGGTCCGGGGCCGGCCCCCAGCTGATGTTTGCAGGTGACGCCGAGAGGGAGCGGGCTCTCGCCCTTCAGGCTTTGGCTCACCTCGGGCCCAACAGGCTGGCCAACTTCCCCGAGCTCTTCCTGAGGAGTCTGGAGCTGCGAGTGGGCAGAGAGGCGGAGGGAGAAGATCCAGGAGGAACCCCCTCACCCGCCGCACAGCGCGACCGATGGGCTGACGAAGTTGAAGAGGAAATTGGAGAAGAGGAAGAAGAAGAATAGGGAAAAGAAAGCGTGTGTGTGTGCGTGTGTGTGTGTGTTTGTGGTAAAGCATCCACAGTAAAACAAATCTCACTCAGCTGGTTGGACTAATGACCTGCTGCTCCGATATAGAGAGCGCTTAAATAATATGATGTTAAAATGGAAAACGGGTTTTCTTAGATATTTTAATTGTTTCTCTTCTGGCTCTTGGCATTTTTATTTTCATTTGTCTTTAAGATATTATTTCTTGTTTGCTTCTTTATGTGTTTCACTTTGATTCTATTTTTCTAGCTGAACATGCCTCTGCTGCGTGTGGTGACTGGGATGCTTTTCACTATGCAAACTAAAATCAAGAGCTGCGACATGAAGGGATATTTAAAGATGTTTATTTTAGTTACAATATAAATGTATTGATTCAGGTGCAATTCAGAAGTCACGTCACCTAGAGATCACATGAGTTTGTATGCTCACTGTCCTCTGGTGGTAATCAGTGGAAATGCAGTCAAATTAATCAAACTGTTCGGTACATTGTAAGCAATAATTTTCGGTCTGTCTTTTCTTGTTTGGTAATCTATGCTTTGATTTGATTTGGTGCTTGAACCAAAGATTTTTAGTTGAACTGTTTTCTTTACAGGAGAGGAGACAGGTGAATTGTAGCCAATGTTGGGTTTGAAGAGAAGACTCTTCCCAACTCTTTTGAAAGCCATGAGAAAAGATTTGCTTCCATGTTTGAGTGTGTCAGAGCCGTAGAGCTCTGTGTTAAATGCCTGACCAAAAGAGACAAAGTCTGGGTCAAAGAGATCCTTTTGATTATGTTGAAGACTATTCTTCTTTTTCCAGAGGCCGTGGATTTCAGTCTTCCAATGCACTCATTTGGTTCCCTTGTTGGGGCAAAAAGAAGATTGAGATGGCATTCCCTTTTTCTGTACTTATTTATTTATTGTTATTTATTATGGATCTTCTGCTGACACTTTTAAGTGAGACCAAATTCAAGTGTGGCACCCAGAACACAAAGTCTTACAAGAAGATGCATTGCGCTTAAGATTTTGAACCAACATCTCCATATCATTTAACGCCTTTTTTATGGGCTGCGTGTCTTCTTTTGGCAAATCTTCCTCGAATGCATTCTTTGCACATTAAACCCCGTCAGGTACTGCAATAATACACATTCCATCCTCCGGGGGAGAGAGAAGGGAACAGAGGTTCAAACCTTCCATGTAACTGGAACACAAAATAACTTTGCTGTTTTACATTTTGTTGTTTGTGTAACATGTATAGTACTGTATCACATGTTGACATGGCAGTTCTTACAGATCGGCCTCCGCTGTGTGTAAAGGGGCCATTATCCTTTGAGTTAAACTATCTTCGACCAAAAAAACCGTTTTAGTTTCTTCATGCTTTCCCTGGACCAGTACATTCAGGCCTTTTTGAAAGGTTTAATGCAATCATTAATGGCTTTAAGCGACGGAAGTCTTTTTGTTTCCAATTCTCTCCATGTAGTCAGAACCTGTGCTGTTCTGGCCTTGTGTGCACTATCTGCTCCTTGTGGTGTAGTAAATCATTTTTTTATTTCCAGTTTATTTGCACTATGAGATTTAAGAGCTTTAAGCCTGATTGTCTGACCTTCGATATCTTGTCCATTAACTCACTCGATACCATTTAAGATTGTAATTGAAATTTTCTTTAAAACCTGCATACATTGAATATTCTTCCTCCTGCATAATAGCACAGAGTTATAGTCAATATAATATATATTGGGATAAAGTTGCCTTAGATATAATTTGTTTTGTGCTGCAACTACTCTCAGGAAATCTTGAGCAATGCACTAAGTGATTATATAAAATGGGAAGACATTGTCTGGTGCTGCAGGGTGATTGACACGCTTCATGTAAATGTAAGGCCAGTAGTTTCAAAATGACATTTTGTATCATGTTATGGTTGAAAACCTAATTCATTTAACCTATTGTGAGAAAATAATCGGGAAATAATAGCAACGCCAGTTAACTACTGGCCCTACTGGAACCAGTCCTACTGGAATGGCAGTATGACAGTTGGTCCTGTTCATGAAGGGTGTTGGTGCTCCCTTCATGTGAATGAAAGAGGGTTAACTGATGCCAGCTGTGAAGTGCGCGTTTCTATGTGAGCTGTTTGTTTTCTCGGCTTCGGTGAAGGGACACGGGGTCCGGTCTTTATAGAGACCCCGCTATCAGGGATACATTTTTGTCTTTCAGTCTTTAGTGGAACCTTCTCATAGATATTAATTCATTTCCCATCATTTGTTTCAGTTTATGTTAAGAAAATAAATAAACATATCTAAGCTTGATCTTTTGTGTTTCTCTTATTGATTGATGTTTTAAAAACAACCCTTTAAGGGCTTAGTTAAATGTCTCACTTTAGTCATTTAAGAGTTGTGACAAGTTGGAAATGTGACAGTTGACTTGTGCTCTCTGGTGGGCAAACAATGTAATGCAAACGTTTTAAATACCTTGAATTTACTTGAGAGTTCTGACATTTCTTGTTTCTCATTAGCCAATATCGCACTGTACTCCAACATATGTGATTTGCTAACATTGTAAGTGCATTGTCAAGCTATTATGGTTATCAAGGTATTATGACTCTTTGAAGCAGATTTCCTTTTAAAATATGACTTGCATACCTCACTTTAAATGCCAGTCTCCTTTAAAATTAGAATAGTCTACATTGTTTTTTATAGACCACCTTAAAATACCCATTACTTTTTTGGACTGCCCAGTACCACTTCCTTAATCCTAAACACTTAAAATTAGAAGGCTTCTACTCATCTTTGCCTTTAACAGGAAACTGAGATGATTGAAAAGAAATACAACTTCATGAGACATTTTTACATGTCACAGTAGCCTACGACAGGCACACAGGTGTGAATGATAAAATTAACTATGACTGAATATGATTTAGCTGCTTTAGTGGTTTTGGTTCCTGTTTCCTGCATGTTGGCTCACTGTCATTGAAGGACACTTCAATATATATCCCAGAGCCATCAAAAGCGAAGTAACTCCTGTGCTTTGCTTACAATGTAAAAATTGCCTGTTGTTCAATAGCTGAGTCTATGGCTGCGTATGCACCGTTGATGCATTTAAACTTTACATTAAATTATCTATTTTACAACACTGTAAATCATGCATTACGTCCCTTGATTATAGCGACTCTTTGTGACTCCGAAACACACAATTAATCGCACGTTTGAGTGTGCACATGCACGCACCTGTGAAAGATCGGCACCTGCCGCACAGGCATGGGACAGGATGTGACGTAGTTCGTTAATCCTCTTAGTTTAATTAGGCTGAACCAGCATTGAGCTTCTGTTAACCGCGGAGGTTTCATAAATCAATTTGAGTGTAAGAGAAGTGGAGACTGTGGAGAGTGATATCAGTCTGAGGTGAGGTGGAGGTGTTTGTCCCCTGCAGGATGCTGCTGCCTCGGCGGATGCTGTGGGACGCTGTGATGCGGAATATCACTCCGCGCCTGACCTACAGCACTGCAGCTCAGCAGCAGGTAGGCCTGCATACACTGTAATAATGCACACTGCAATACACACACTGTAATACACACAATGCTTACTCACACTTTAATACACTGATAAACTCGGCACACTGGTCTACATGCATACGTTCACATACTGGCATGGAATAGTTGAAAGGAGTTTTTAGTCAAAAAAGGATATTATCCAACAGAGATAAACATAATGATATCCTTCAAGAAGCCATGTTGGATTAGTTGTTTTAGGGTTTAAATATGTTCATATTGGTTTTTTATGTTAGGAAAACCAATGACAAGTATAGGTGTTTTTAGTCACCAGTATAAGGGAGGTATATATTTAATTGCATTTAGTTGTTTTAGTACTCTGTGCAATGACAATAAAGTTGAATCTGATCTTGCTGTAGAGCCCCAACAAGAACTAAGAGGAATGTTTTGACAACTAAAATATACATATACATCAATATACATTGATGTGGCCAGGGAAAGGAAAGTTTGGGGCTCTCTGCTGGAACTGCTACCTCCGCGACCCGACCACGGATAAGCGGGAGAAGATGGATGGATGGATGGAATATACTATAGTTATATAATTTAACTAATTAAGTAACAACAAAGTGTTGGTACAAGCTTCTCTGACAAATAGATTTGATGCTTCTCTTTTTTTCTTTTTTATAATAAACCGAATACCATTAGACGGGTTGACTGTCAAAAGATATTATTTTAAAAACTCACCTTGGCTTGTGGGAAATTATAACAGAGTCTTCACAATTATCTGACATTTAAAGACAAAACAAATCATTTTTTAACTTAAAAACATAATTGGCGAATGGATAACTAATTAAAATAATTGTAGTTGCCCCCCTTGAGTGATGGCAGCTATAATTTTCATGCATCCATCATGGCAGCTTATCAATCACATCTATTTCTCCTTCTCAGGTGAAGCCAAAAAAGACAACATTTGGCCCTCTGAGTGATGAAGACCGGATATTCACCAACTTATATGGCCGGCATGACTGGAGGTAAACATATGAAAAGTAAAAATACCTTTATTAACCATAACTCAGAGTGTACGTATAACAATTGCCCTTTCTTTAACTGCAAATTGTATTTTCTTTAGATAAAAAAAAAAAAAAAGTTTACCAAGTCTGGTGTACCTAACCTGTTCTACACCGCCCCCCGATACCGGGGGCGGGGGAAAAACGCGTCATCTGCAGGAAACAGCGTCTGAGGGCATCTTAATATTCAATAAACTATGAATGTTTTATATCCATGTAACGGGAAGAAACTAAAAAAACAAAACACAAAGATAACGCTCTGCCTCTGAATTAGCCACGAGCGGGAAAATGCTAACGCATTACTGCACAGAAACTCACTCATAACACCCTTATTACTTATCGTAGCTGTACGTCCCATCGATTAGCATCGTGAGAAGACACAGAATCGATCGGTACCTACATTATCACTCCATGATAAGAACTCGCGAAGATATTAACAAGAACAGACATCAAAACATGTGGCGCTAGGTAGCTAAAAACGGCAAAATGGCTTACCTTGTCTGGTCAAAAGTGGTCTTCAATGGCATTAAAACGATAACAACGCTGTTGAAGTTAATCCATAGGTTAATCCAGTGGTTCTCAAACTTTTTCTGTCAGGCCCCCCCTTTGGAGAAAAAAAAAAGTCGGGCCCCCCCAACACAAATAGTCAGGCTCAGTGGCGGCGCCAGAGATTTATTTTGGGGGTACTGTGGGGTAGCTTGACGTTTCATAGAGGGTGCTCAAACATTTAGGGTTTCCCATTAATGTACCTGTCGATACAGTGGAATTTTCTACTGCAACAATCCCCACGCATATATACAGTGTACCCACGACTGTTACAATGAAGGCTCGATAATCAGCTCACGGCATATAGGTGTAAGCAGGGGTAAAGTGCTATTTTTATAGGTGGTGTGTGGACCTTACATAGGGGGGCAAGCTCCCCCGGGAAGATTTTTAAATATTGAAGTTAAAAGCATCAATCTGGTGCACTTTGAGAGCAAAATGAAGAGATCTATGGATACATCTCTCAACACCCATATGAAACTGAACTGTAAACAGATTTACTTTTTCTTTATGGATATTTTACAAATCACTCCCCTTTTAAACTTTATTCTTTTTTTAATGTCATATAGTATTTCATACTTGTTTTTAATTTATTCTCTTATTTTTTTATAACTATAATGATCATATAAACGTGTACCTCGGAAATAATTGTTTACATTAATGGTGACCAAAACGTTTGAGACCCACTGAGATAACACTGAGAGAGTCCTTTAGCTCACTGAGTCTCTCAGTCTGACAGGAGAGGACTCTCCTCCACTTTGTTGTTGAAAAAACTCCTTATATCCGTTAGCGTAGCTCGCTAGCACCAGAAGCTAACAAGAACAATCTCCGGTACCGGTGCGCTTTCTCTTGCTCGCGCACGTACACAAAATGGCTCGTTCCACACACACACACAGAGCCGAGCTTTAATGAAACACAGAGACCCAGACGTAATAGTACTGTACCGTATCATATTATTTTCAATCAATAATTTTTCAAAATAAGGTTTTTTGAAAAACAAAATTATCTTTTTTTTTTTTTTTTAATAACCATTTTCCCCCCTGGTCTCTTGCGCCCCCCCCCCCCCCCCCCCCCCCTGGTGTCTGTGTCCCTTTGAAATGATTTCTGATAATCCACTAGCAATAAACCTGCTTTTCCGTTTCCAGATGTCAGAGCGAGAGATAGGTTCGCTCTCATGCAAAACTGTGCACGCATAGCTCTCATTTCTCAATGGTAAGGTGTGTGTGTGTGTGTATGTGGAAATTCTCCTTCGATTCTATTGGCTCTAACAGTCAAAAAGAGATGTCAATCACCAAAATTGACCAATGGGTTCCAGAGAAACGGTAAAAACGACCATTTCCACCCAAATCACCTCAGAGGTGGAGTTTTTTTTGCTAAAAAGGTCCAAGTCCACTATCCAAGGGTAGTTTTCACTATAAGTAAAACATTTTTTGGACGGCACATATGATTTACAGTTTTTTACTATGTTCAATCTGAATTCAATCTATATTGATTCTGACTTTTCTACATCCAACTCACAGGTTTATCATTACTTTGAGAAAAAAGATTATTAATTTTCCCCTTTTAGAAGTGTAGTTATAGTCATTTGTTCTGGAAATGTCATTTTCGAGCCTGAGACCTGAAAAACAGGCTCAGTGTTTAACAGGTTAAATATTTATTATCACTATTAATTTATCTCCAGGTATATTACCATTTAGCTGTCTGGGCTTTGAAATGTACAAAATAAACTGCTCATCCATGAAACAGCAGAACATTTTAATAAACAAAACTGTGGGGAAATAAAAAAGAATAACTACTTGTTCACCTCTCTCCCTCTTCCTACCAGACTCAATGGCTCAATGAAACGAGGAGACTGGCATAAGACGAAGGAGATCCTACTGAAGGGCACAGACTGGATCCTGAATGAGGTGAAAGTCTCAGGCCTCCGAGGCAGAGGAGGAGCAGGCTTCCCCACCGGCATGAAGTGGGGCTTCATGAACAAACCCAGCGACGGCAGGTAGGAGAAGAAACAATCCAGATTAGTCAGAGTGACTGTCGGAGCCACACCAGTAATGACACTCAGGTGATCCATGTTTCCTTCTTTCCTCAGGCCTAAGTACCTGGTGGTGAATGCTGATGAGGGGGAGCCTGGGACATGTAAAGACCGGGAGATAATGCGTCACGACCCCCACAAGCTGATAGAAGGCTGCCTGATTGCTGGGAGAGCCATGGG